CATGTGTGTGTTTCTCTACAAGGGTTCAAGCAAACGAGAAGTCTTCTAAATGAGAGCTTCACGTTGAGGATGGGCGATGGAACTCTAGTGTGGCTGAAGCAATGGGAGACGTTCATCTTTATTTTAATAGTTATAGGAGTTTATTTTTGCGAGACTGTTTTTATGTTCCTCAATTTAAGAGGAATCTTATTTCTGTTGTTTGTTTATTTAAGGATTCTTATTCAATTTCTTTTAATAATAAAGTTGTGATTCGTAAAAATAAGTCTTTTATATGTGATGGATGGATGTAAAATAATCTATATTTTATCAAACTTAAGATGAACTCACTGCTGAACACTGAAGTTATTAATAACTCTAAAAGGCTTAAAACTTCTCACTCTAATGAGACATATCATTGGCATTTGCGACTTGGTCACATTAGCCTTAATAGGATACAGAGGTTGGTAAAGGATGGACCTTTAAGTTCTTTAAAGGTTGAAGACTCGCAGCCAAATAATTAAACAGCATTTGTGACCAGATCTAAAAGAAAAATAATACATACATTTACCTTTATTTATATACTCTGAAAACTATTTGTATAAGTTCTAAATTAATATGTCGGGCATAAGGCAACATAATCCGAGCATTTGAATGTTTGAATCCTTTTAAAATACCAGAGCAAGCTTCAAAGATGATAGGCTTAAATTTTTTTTTTCTTTTCAAAAAGCCCGAAAATTCATTATCTCTAATGTCCATATAATTCCTATTTTCCTAGCATAGTGCTCAGAAATTACAAATTGTAATACCATATCCAAATTCAGGTTGTAATTTTTTTTCACAAAATAAAAGAATTAATTTTTTATATTGAGCATATAACAAAAAGAATATTTCAAGAAATAACTTCTTTGCTTTTTGTTTTTCGAAACTATCAGCATTTTTAATTTTTAATTTTTGCAATTTTTAGTTGTATGTCGTTTTCAATGCTTATACTCATTTTTCAGAAGATTATCGTTTGCGATTTTTCGTCCTTGTCATTTTACAGAATTTTGAAATCTTTTATCAAGTTGTTGTTTTATTTGTCATACGTTGAATGTTGTTCGTTAAATCTTTTTATTTCTATGGACTGTTCTATAAATTTTTTGCACATTATATTGTCGATTTTCTTTTGTATTCGTGTAGTAAATCGTTCGTTTTATTGTTTATGTGTTGTTCTATTTTTCAGAATTGGGATTTCAAAATTTATGATAGCGTTGTATTCCAAGTATTTTCTTTTTTTTTGGTCTCATATTGTTCTCGTTCAAACTCCAAAAAATTTGAAATTATTTAAAAAAAAAAATGAAATATTTTCATAAATATCCTATAATTTTGGACCTTTTTTCAAAGTCATGCTAATTTTTCAAAACTATTTAAAACATGCCCGATGTGTAGAAAAACCATTCAAAATGCTCCTTACGTCCACTTATGTCTATAATTCTAAGGGATTTGCTGATATGGCATGTGTTGCAAATAATTTGACTATGCTTGCAAGTGCACAAGTCGTACAAGTAATAAAGTGGTCCGAAGACTGTTATCGTCCCACGAGGATTAACGTTAAGAATATAAACTAACTATTGTGAATATCATATCTTAACTTTATCTAAGCGATCAAATTTGGATGTGATAAACTCAAAGAAAAACTTAAATAAAGGAAAACTAAATCAAAAGGAAAGATGACAGTAATTAATAATACGTGCTGAAATTAGAACGGAAAATCATTATGATAAAAATGCTAGGGTATTGACTTCACTCTATTGCGATTATGTTTCTCCGTAGTAATGTGCCTAACCTAACTCAACGTTCTCAAGAACCTAGAGTGATGTATATCCTTATACCCTCTCTCGAGTGCCGCATAAAGAATGTGTAGGTGATATCAAGCCCATATCTCTATACAACTATTCATCCCTACCTTCATTAAGTTCCACTCTAGAAACAATTCCTGGAATTCCACTTCTCAATTTCACAACCTAAAATTGTTTCGGTTACCTAGGCAATGTTTATCTCTCGATCTCACACCAACCTAAGTTGTTCTATCCGTTTCTTGATTGCTTGAATGTTCCCCTCTCGAGTATTAATCCTCACAATAAAAATCTGCCCAATTCAAAATATCATAAAGCATGGCAATATGTAAATCATAGATTTAGCAGCAATAATTCAAAATAGAACACGAAAGAAACGAAGAGCTTAATTAAATGCACATTAAAACGTCGAAACAATAATCACAAATAGAGATTCATCTCAACCCTAACAAATAAGAAAATTAGCCACACATCATGTGGTTCAAAATCTCAAAATAATATTCAAAACTTAGAAAAATACAAGAAAGATAAGAAGAGAATGAAGAACGCTTGGAATTCTTGAAGAATCACTGGAATTTCTTCTTTTGCAAACCCTTTTTCTCCTCATTCCCTTCAGTTTTCGGCCTTTCCTCCTTATATTCCACGTCCAACACATCCCTAAGAAGCTAATTCTCACTTTCCATAAAAGTCCCTGCACCAAACTAGGGCAAAACGTGTGTTTCTAATGAAATCGGGTAAATCAGGTGACATATCCCCTAGAATAGGCGACATATCGCCTAAAGGAGGCGACATATCTCCACAAAGGAGGCGACATATCGCATCC